ACTACTCGCGGGGGCTGAATGCGACCCCATCGATGGATACGTTGAGAATGGCTAAGGACCAGCTCTGATACCACGTGTTGACTCTAAGTACTCTGCGGAAGCGTTTAAAACTGAACCACGAACTCAAACTTAGCAACACTTAACTTCACTTTATACCCTCCGAGTGTGACAGCATGTCACCTCATAGCCAAGGGTATAACAGGTACAAAGTGAGTAGTTATGCCTTGCTTGATTTGTGGAGTGAGGAATCTGGTCGAGCAGCGTTTCGGCAGCACCACGTTACGTTTCTACTCTCGTCAATACGTAGTAGTAGAATTCCAGACTTTGAAAAAGCATAATAGCATTGATTGTCTTGAAGCAAATACAAGCACTCATTTATATCAAGTCCTAAACACACAAAGGAAAAAATATAGCACTTGCTTAACTGGAATCCAGGCCTTCGCTTTGCTGTAATAGAAAACGGTTGTGAAACTGCTGAAGAATTTGGCTCAATCTGCCTCATTAGAATTAACTGTAATCCACTTGAATTGAAACCAAAGTCCCCTGCTGAATCACGTCATGAATTTCCGCGAGTTCTCATGAGGAATCATGGATACTCGTGTGAGAAACCGTTTCCAGTTATAAAACGGATTTTACCGTTGATAAAACGGTATTTACTGTTTTGTACCTGCGTCGAAATGATCACGCTAAGCAGCGTGACTTTCGCGCGAAATCGGTTGTGTTCCAGGTCAGCGCGGGATACGGTTAGTCAACCGAAATCCCGAAGCACCCTCGGTCAAGCAGAAAAAGCCGATCGCTGACGCGATCGGGCTTTGTCCTGCGCGTGACAGGGCCATAATGAGCCCTGTCTTGTTGCGATCGTGCAACTGTGCACGGTCGCAACAGTTGCGACACACGCGCGGGCCCTGTGGGGCCATACGCGTATGTCAGGACCCCACGCGCGGGTCCTGACTTTCGCGCACTTTTTGACCAGCGCGAAATTGGTCAAAGGGTCCGAGTCAAACACTCGAGCCCAGCACCCCCCGACACACTCGACACTCGCCACGAGTGCTCATGAAAACTCGTGAGCTTTCATGAGCTTTCATGACGCTCGTAGTTATCATGAACGCTCTTAGTAGTTCATGAAAATCAGCGAACGAACATGAGTCGTCATGAGAATTCATGACTCGTCATGATCCGTCATGACTTGTCATGTGCCCACAACAAAAAAACACATGAAACAGAATGCAAAAACGAATACGCACAGAACACACACAAAATGCGGGACTTCATGCAGGCGGCTGGTTGACGTGCAAAAATAAGATTTGCACCCAACACACACGTCTGCGGAAACAGCATACACTATTTTCCAGACATTCTCCTTGACCGAAAACTACCTGAATAGCTGCAAAAATCTTTGAATAACAAAAAATGTGACACGTCACCTCTGCTGAAGACTGTGCAGTCCCATACATATCGTCGCTGGAAGCAGAACGTTCACCCGCCGCACTGAAAACCGTAGACCACCCGCATAGTGACAGCAGTTGCCACTTGTCAACCACCTGCGCGTCGCTGTTCCCCTTTTCCCAAAAATGTTGACTCGTGAATATTGCGGGAGTGTCGTACGTAGCTGGAAACACTAACTTTCATTCAAATTGGTTGCTTAAAACTGTTACGTTACAGAATCTCATGCAAAAATATGTCAAAATGGAAACCTAATATTTTACCAAGTATTGCCAATTTTGAGATTTTTTTTTTAGACACCCGTAAATTTGTTCATTAACTCTTACTACATATGCATGAATGCTGAAACACTCTACTTGGGCTGGTTATTTGCCCCAAATACACTCGTATTGGCTCGTAACCACCATGTATGTGGTTAAAATTGGCTTGAATATGGTTTTCAGGCTTCCATTGGCTTATTCAGACATACAGAAAGAAAATGAAATCATCTGGAAACTTTCAAAAACAGCATGAAACTTCACCAAGTGACATCTTGTTAAAGTTTAGAAGAAAGAAGAGGGGCTGCACTAGCAAGAATGGGGATACAAATAGGAAACCCTAGAAGGGTTGTACTCGCTATAGAGCACCCCACTACAGGCTAGAGCATAAGATAACATTCTGACACACCCCCATAGCCAAAGTGGGGTGTAATCAGCAGAGTAAGCAAAGGAGTACAAGCTCAGGGTGGATCACAATGTCACCACACATTCTGAGCACAAGTTCAAGAAGCAATAGTTTAAGTTCACAATTATGAGCAAAGCTAGTGGTAGTCACAACGGGCAAGTGAGGAGGAGGAGAGAGAGTGAGAGGAGAGGAGATAGGAGGCGACGACTGAAGCTGCAGACACACGGGCAACAGGAGGCAGACTGGCACAGCGGCTACCGGACGAAGTCCCCGGAATACAGGAGTAACAGGCCCCGCGGCTAAAGTAGCGGCAGACGAGCAACGGACCCACGGGCGGCTGGCACAGCTGGCTACGACTGGGCTACCGGACGAAGTCCCCGGAATACAGGTGCTGCTGGCGACACGACGGCAACCTCCATTCAGCTTCCCCAAACTATCCCACTCCCCCCTGGCACATACCCGCTGCTACACCGCTAGCTCCACTCCCCCTTCACCCCCCCTTAGTACCACTCCACCGGCTCCAACACGTCCACCCCCCCTCAGCGGCAGCTGCAGCACAAGGAGACGGAGGAGGAGGAAGAGCAGGGAACGGTACAGAGTGAAGTCACCCCCATACCCCTCACCCCCAAACCCTAATTCAGGAGAATGGGGAGTAGGAGGGGTGGGGCGCCAGTAGAAGCACTGGGGGACAGCGAGGAGGGCAGGGGCAGCGAGGAACGAGCCCACCACGGGCCTGGTAGAGACGCCCGAGCCGCGCGCAGGCGGCCCGAGCCGCGCGCGGGCCTGGCGCCGCCCGTACGGGCCGCGCGCGGGCCTGGCGCAGCCCGTACGGGCCGCGCGCGGGCCTGGCGCAGCCCGTACGGGTGGCGCGCGGGCCTGGCGCAGCCCGTACGGGTCGCGCGCTGCCTGTACGGGCCGCGCGCAGGCCACGACGGGCGACGGGGGGCGACGAACGGGTCCCCGTCGCCCGTCGCGGCGCCTCCCGAGGGCGACGCGACGGTTGTCGGGGCCGAAGCCCGCCGCGCGCCTCGGGGCGCACAGCGGGCAGAGAACCGCCGCGCGCCTCGGGGCGCACGGCGGGCAGAAAACCGCCGCGCGCCTCGGGGCGCACGGCGGGCAGAAAACCGCCGCGCGCCTCGGGGCGCACGGCGGGAAGAAAAACTGCCGCACGCCACGGGGCGTGCGGCACAGAGAGTAGCAGTAGCAGTTGCAGCGGAAGCAACAAGGTGGTGAGCCCACCCACAGGATCGATCCAAGGGGATCGACCTGCTCTGATAGCATGTTAAAGTTTAGAAGAAAGAAGAGGGGCTGCACTAGCAAGAATGGGGATACAAATAGGAAACCCTAGAAGGGTTGTACTCGCTATAGAGCACCCCACTACAGGCTAGAGCATAAGATAACATTCTGACACATCTATGTCTGAACTCGAACGGTTTGACCTCATCTCATGCTCAAAATAGTGACACTCATGATGGTGTCATGCGAGTGGCACGAAAACGGGCTGGCACCTTTTTTATATCATTAATAATTCATGGTGTGAATAAACTTTGCAAAAAAAAAGCTACGCAGCATTGAAACGACATCGTCTCCCGTTATGCGACTGACATTGCATTACCTATGTTGACAACCTTCTGATACCATTTATGACTTAGTGGTGTGAATAAAACCTGCAAAACAGAAGAACACAATGTCGAAACGGCATAGTGCGTCAAGATCTTATGTAATTAGTTGTTGGTATAACAATATTGTATTGATTTTTTCAAATCCCTTTCGATCACAACAGACAAATGGTGTAGTTAATACTGTAAGTGAAACTAACAGAATTGTTGCTTGACAAATAGGATCTGAAAACTGCAGGCCTGAACATTCAAATATCTTTACAGTTTTAAAAGGTACATTACAACAAACAATTTTCTTCACAATTATTTCTGAGTGTTGTGTAACGGAGAACATCTTTAGTGGATCCAGCTTTATGTCAAACATTCGCAAGCCGCTGCTTCTTGGAAGGAGTTCATCAAAACTCCATTCTTACCGAGTAGTAGGTTTGAACCGAACGACCAATAGCAAACGTTCGACTGGCTTAGAGGAAGTTTCCTGGATGAAGTCGAAATGGTTCGACCAATAGTATCGCTCGTGACGGTGGCGTCGAAATTTCGGTGATGCTCCACCTGAAACAGCCACTAAGCTGTTTTGGCAGAGTAGTAGTAATAGGAAGAGCTCTTAGGAGAATTCCAGAAAGATAGTAGCAAGATAGCTTTACAAGAGATCATATGATAGCATACATTTCAGAGATGCATCCTAATATACTAGGATACTAGCATGGGCGCCTCGAGCTGGTCGTTCAGGTTGCCATTATTATTCCTAGAGCTAACAACAGCAAGGCATAGTTACTATGATTATGTACAAGAGATACTAGCCTTGTTGTCATATCCTAGAACCAATAAGCATAGCCTAGGAATTCACTAAGGTAATGGGCAGAGCTTCTTGGTAGTGTTGTCGTCCATGTTGTCGTTGGGAATGATGAGTAGAAGCTGCGTTGGATGAAGGCATGGCTGTAGGAGAATACGCTTGCTTGTGCTGTGAAGTATTTTGCTGCGCTGTTGAAGCTCTCTGCCCTGTTGTGTCCAGCACTAGCGTGCTCTCTGAAATTGTTCCCAAGGTTGGAAACTGAGAATTACGAGCCGCACAATTCAATGTTGGATTCCAACATTGAATTCCCGAAATGTACTTAGGGTGTGTTCCGAATTCTGGTTCGGATCACAAGGAGCTGAGTTGGCGAAATCGAGGAAGGCGAGATCGCCTTCGTCTTGTTACACCACCCCACTGATTCCCGAGTCGCGAACCCAGAAATCCTACCTGCAGGTAGGTTTAGGAAAGATACCCCTTCGCAATCCCTAAAAAACATGCCACCCCACCCCTTCACATTTTGGGATGTGGGTGAGGCCGAGGGTGTGCAGGTGCGCGAGGTTGGCGAGGGACGGCGGGAGGTACTCATACGGATGCGGGCAGTAGAGCGAGAGGTGGTGCAGCTGCGTGCAGCGACGCACGAAACGGTCCACACCAGCTGCGGTCACCGGAAAGCCTTCCCCGCCCACCCGACACCACTGCTTCGTCATTCCCTTGCCCACGTGCAGCGACACGTGCTTGGGACACGAAGCAGCGAGGTGAGCGAGGAAGGCGTCGTCGATGGTTTCGACGCTGTTGTCGCTCAGATGCACGTGCGAGAGGTGAGGGAAGCACGCGATGGCCGCGGTGAGATCTGCGAGCGGGACGACGCGGTTCTTCTTCACGAGGAGCATGGACACCTGCCGGCGAGCCAGGCGACGCCAGCGCGAACAGACGGAGGCGATGAGGTGATTGTAGGCCGGGTCGGTGAGCGCGGGAGGAGCTGACAACGGACTGTTACTACAAGTGGCAACGGTCGTGCTACTACTGTTGTCGTTCCGACGCAGCGACAATGGTAGCAAGTAGCCATCGGAGGTGCTGAGCTCTTCGCCATACGGATTCTCGCAGGAGTACCTTGGCCCGGGCAAGCAGAATAGCGTTGTATCGACGTTGTTGTTTATGGGTTGGCGAGGAATGTAGGGCGCTTTGGAGCTCCAGAAGATTCTAATGAGGAGGTCGTCTGACAGATCGTTGATGTACGCGCGAGCCATGATATCTAAACCAACGGAAACCCTGTTAACAGGAGCTATTATGCGGCTTCGGTGCTGCACGTATATGTGAACTACTAGTTGAAAAGCTAAGTTAGGAAAGTCACAGAAATGTCCCTTTTACGGGACTTCTAAGTGACAATTTTCCGTTATGGTAAAGTCATGGACAGAAGTCCCAGCATGCGGCGTTACGTCCAGAGTGACGGGAAACTCACTTTTCCGTCACGCAAATGATTCAGAAACAACTCATAAATGTCACAACAAACTTCACGTTTCTGTCACCACCCCGTCTCCGAACAGTGACACGGCTCGCAACAACGATAACGTTACGGCAGAATCACAGAACCGTGCCTCTGCCACGTAAGCATCCACGTGGTGTACTGTTTCACGAAGTGCGTTACATCCAACACACCACCCAACTGAACGTACTTGCGTGTCGTCGCATAACTACCAACCACACAGACGCACGTGTCGTCCCAACCTCGAGAAATGAAGCGTCAGGATCACACATCCCGCTCCACGATCCACGGCTGACACGCCCCGTCCAAAACTGCGCATGCATCATCGCAACGGTCCATCGACATACTAATCTACGGACGTCGAAGCTACACGTCATCCGAAACATGCGGTCATTGAGTGCACACCTCACCCGACAGCAGAACCCCATAACCGTCGATACAAAAATGCATAGACAGTGCAGATTAGCCTCCTCTATGAGCCACCCGCACACGTGCCCCCCTTTCCATCGTCGATCTCAACCACATGGACGGCAACGATGCACACATTCTACAACAAATCGACGGCTACCATCGATCTATAATTACAACAACATCTGGACGCATGCATGACCACAGCCATTGATTCGCGACGAGATCGACGGCTCCCCGCGTAACTGTTGCGCACACATCGACGACCGTCTAGCATCGCCTTCCCATCGTAGGCTACACTCTAGTATCATCCAACGCGTCGAACTAGTCGCCTGCTCTCGCACCACCGGTTTTGCACGACTCCATCCACGACGTACGATGAATGGCGACACCCACACCCATGACGTTACCATACATCGCTACCGTCGACCACACGTGTCACGCAGTGGATCCATGCGCAGCGCGTTGAGAAAACCCAGTGATCTAACCGTCCATATTCACATACTGGCCTCTCGGGGCGCGTTTGCACCAACATTGGGCAGCCTAGTGCATGCTTCTAGAGCTCTCTCCTGACGGACGCCTGTAATGTATGATTCTGATTATGCATTCAGCTCAGCAATGTTACGACTATAACCACACAAGGAAACACCACACAACATTGGTCCGGCAACCTCGAAGCACAACCTACAGCATGCAACACTACCCCAACACCTCACATGCTTCTTCCAACTCACCACCCCCGAACGTGGTTATAACCCCCATTGTCCCCACTACTCTGTTGCCTGACTGACACCCCACTTCCACTCTGCATTACATCCTGCTTCACTGTTCAGCCTCAAGTAAGGGACATGTTGTCCCTTTCGCCTTCGCTCACGCTGGGTGCCTGCCCGGCGCTCTCTTGCCGCTGAACACCGCACGCAGACAGGCGCAGCCCATGGCGGCCCCAGGCCCACGATGACGTCGTGGGGTCGTACTGCGGCTGATACTGCTCGATGGCAGCCATGACGTCCAGGAGCGCGCACTCGCGGAGGCCGTCCACGATCTGCGCGTTGACACCCGCAGAGTTCGAGAGCTTGCCCTTGCGGGTGTCCCAGAAGCGGATCGCGTCGGTCACCTGCGCATACGAGAACCACCCAACGCACAGACTTGCATTAGCGGCCACGATATGCACTCCTCCTCACTGATAAACACAACTACGCCTCTCGCAGTCTCACCAAAACGTGCACACTCACCACGTGTTCGAGCCACGCCATGTGATACAGCTTCAAAGTCAGCGTGCCGTTCACCATCCTGGGCCTGAACGCCGCTCGAGCGCATGCAGCAAAGGCGCCCGACGCAAAGGGCATGCCGCGCCTGTCCTCGCTCCACTTGGAGATCGCGAAATGGTCTGCACAACAATCAGCCGGCCATATGGGCGTCATTACACTGCAAACACTCACGCACGTACCAACCATCTCGTGACTGCCTTACCCTCCCCATCGAGCGTCAGAAGAAGGCGCTCCTGGACTCTCGCAGCCGAGCGAGCCTTTGGGGCAGCCCACGGGCTGCGCGCGTCCCTCTCGTCGCGGAAAAGTCCCAGCTTCGGCAGCGCGATGTCCCTCACTCGCCCCGCGGCAGCCGTCTTCCAATCGCTCAGCGTACGGTTCAGGTCTGCGCGTCGCGCTTTATCCGCAGCCATCGTGAGGCTTGCAAAGGTGGGAGTCAGCCGCTCAATAACCGCGCACAGCCCGGCACTCTTCGCCGCGCTACTGGGGTAGAACGACATCAGCGCGTCCGGAGCGTCGATGAAGAGATGCACACGCAGCTGCTCGCAAATTTCCTGCGTTGAGCATGAACCACATATATAACCATGTCAGATGAGCACTGCGTTCCACCGTCATCACACATTCGCCGAGCCTACTGCGCGTTCGTGAATGGACAATGCGCCCCCCAAGTGCGAGTTTGCAACCCAATAACCCCACCTTCCACCCTTTGTTCGCGGGCAAAAACTTCGGCGCACGCTGCAGGATCGGTGAGCTCGACGTGCGGACGTGGCGACCGACCTCGTCCTCCACCTCGTCCTCATCCACAGACGGCTCGGGACTCGCAACGCGCCGAGCCTTACGTGGGTTGACCCTGTCGCACTCGCCTCTTGCGTTGTCACGTTTGCGCTTCTTTGCCTGGTGGTTGGCCAGCGACGCCAGCAGCGCCGTCTCCAGGCGCGCCATTGTGGCTGCCGTGTCCATCTGCATCTTGCGGATCGCAATCATCTCTGCCCTTGTCACGGGCGCGGAATCGGAGGCTTCCTCCTCAGTTGCCTCCTCGTCGCCGTCGACGCGCGGATTGACCCTAGGAAGGGCTTCGTTCGGATCGTCGTTCGACGACACGGGGCCCGGGCCCGGCGCAGGTTGTTCTTCATTGCTTTCCTGGGCTTCCGGTCCTGACGCCCTGCGCCTCTTTCCCGTCCGCGCGGTGCGCGCATCCTCCTGCGACCTCGCCGTCCCAGCCTTGCGGCGATTCGATGTCGTTTCGCGCGACGAAGAGCTCTCGCCGTCCCGATCATCTCTCGATTCGGGCGGGGGTGTGGACGCTGCCAAACACCGTCCCAGTAAGAGTCAGGGCGGGCCATGTACAATACAGCAACCTGTTACACAATGACAGTAATACAAACAACACACATACCTCTGTCCGAAGTCACGCTAGGTGCCGGCCTCGCGGCAGTTTTCGCGCGCTTAGCAACCGGTGCCTTCGGCAGCGGTGGACGCTTGGATGTCCCCGGCAGCACGTAGTGCTGAAGGTGCGACGGGGTCTTGGACACACGCTGACGTTTTCCGTCCCTGGACGCTCTTCCGCTCTCATTGCCACTGTCCATGTTGCCAGCGGCAACTAGACAGACGATGTGCACAATGGTGCACAAGCTCACATTTTGTGCACAAACCTCCCCTCTTCCAACACTAGCGTCCGAGGATGGCTTTGTTTGACGTGGAAGGCACCTACTCACTTGGGAATCTGTTGCCCTATCCTCGTTCGCCAGCACGGCTTGCACTGGCGACCTTACCCATCTCTTTCCAGCATGCACTCAATTGTGTCCACTCGCGCACCAGCCTGCAAATGCCAGCGTGTTTTGTGTCTTCACACTACTGCGCGTCGTTCTTGGTCACACAAATGTCTTGTAACAGTTACGCACAGTCTCTCCTTCATTAACATTTTACTCAGTGTACATTCATTCTATGTCTTCAACACGCAAGTTACAAACCATTTATTACGGATGTTCATTCCCACACACAGCCTCAGCGTCCATCGCACCGAACAACAACTACAACTGACAATTGTCATTAATCATGTCTGTACTCAGTGCAACTCCTCCCTTCTGTCTCATGATACCTCCATTGCCCACACGCTATCCCTGCGCCTGCGTGCACGCAATACCCCCATCACTGTCATGCTCCCCATTGTCATCCTCGCTCACCAGATCCTCATCTGCTTCAGCATCTCGTATATCGCTATCAGCTGCCTCTGCTTTCGGTGGAGGCGACTCCGCACCTGGCTCCGGCTTGAAGGGTGTTCCTGGCAGTACACCAATGTCGTCCATGGCTTTACGCCACTCCCTCCATCTGTACCATTGGCGCTTCTGTACAAGATGCCTCACGTCATCCACGATGGCCCCCTCCAGTGCAGCCATCTCCGCATCTGACAATGACATCACCTTAGGGAAGTGGTCCTTCTGCCTGATCACAAACGCACCAGCGGCGTACGCGTACGCCGCGTCCTCCTCCTTCATGTACGCTCCCAGGCGTACCTGCTTCCCAGTAGACGGGTCTGCAATGATTTTGACGCACCACTTTCGCACTCGGTGATCGAACCATACCCCGGTGTACTCGCTCGTTCCACCACGTTTCACCACCCCCCCTGTCCCGCTTGCCTTCACCTTGGTGGCCCTCGTCATTGGCATGCGTCCGCCGGCGCCATGACACTTCACGGGCGTGGCGTCTGGTGTCTTCGGATTGGCAGTGTTAGAGACGTTGCCCCTTTTATGATCGTCTGTAGCTCCCTCTGTAGTCGGGAAATTGACGCTGGTAAACCCGGAGTGAGGTAGTGGTGCGGGGGAGTTGTGTAGGAGTCTGGTCAGCGACCTCGATGCCGCCTCACGCTCCCGCTGCCTGTTGACAGTGCTTGACCGCCTGAGGAGTCGCGTCCCATGCGTACCCAACTCATGGGCACACGCGGCTTCCAGCTGATCCTGGGTGAACCCAAGCGCGGATGCGATACTCATCACGGCGGATGCCAGAAGGACCCCATCCACCTCCATGCTGTTCCTATCGCGGGATAGCTTCGCCAGCTCCGTTCTGACCTCGTCCTCCGATGGAAACAGCATGCAGCCGTCGTCGTCTACACGCGCAATGGGCTGGGGCGGCACCTCCACTTCCTCCATGTACAGCTGCACAAAAAGCTCCCCCACGGCATGACTGCACACATCCCCGCGCATGCCTCTCCTGTACGTGCGCGATGTGACGCCGTTGCATGACACCCAAGTAAAGACCGTCTTGAATCCAGTGTTGACTAGCCCCTTCAGGTACATACAAACGAACACGCCGCAGTCGGTATCGTTACCCTGTTGCGGGATCACCTCCTTCTGCAATACATACAGACGATTGCACCAATGCTTCAGTCGACGAGCCCCGCATACTCGGTCCGCAATCAATGCAGTGAAACGGTATGATCGCCGCGCGGACCATACCTGAATGACTATGCGCACGGCGTCCTTCAAGGCCTTTGCAGCGTACTGATGGTCGCCGAGCGGGCGACGAGCCTTGTGAAGTAGAAACAACATCCTGCGACACCATCGGATCACGGATCAGAGGAAGGTCCCGCTGAATGGTACCGCAACGGCCATTATCACGCTGAGTCGGGGACTTACTTCTTGACACCCTCTATGATCTCAGGCGTCCTTGTGTGCAGCCCCTCGCTGTCATAGTGGACGAGGTAGAGAGGATCGCCGTCCCCCTCAGATGACATCCGCCGTGTCATAGCCCGCAGATTCACCGAAATATCCAGAGAGTAGTGCCTCCTGTACGAACACACACAGGTTACCACTCTTCGTTAAACCATCAACACGGCGTTCAGACCTAGGTGCACATGGTGGACACGACGCGTGATCTTTGTCACGGCCCACCTTGCTATAACCGGTATGGCAAGGTAGTCGAGATCGAAAATACACGGGGATCTTCCCATCGGCAACGCCTTGTCCAACTGCGTCGCGTAGACGTAGGCTTTGGTGTCCATAGGAAACCATGTCTTGCCATCCGGCAGAACCGGGTGTCGGATGTTCAGTAGTCTACACACGCACAAGGAAAAGGTGCTATGATGGGTTAAGATACACAGCCATGAGCGGATATATGCTCGCTTGATCCAAGTGAGACGACACTCACATGTTGTGGAAATCAACGACGCTGTCCGCAAGATACTGGCCGTCGGCCATAGTAAGCGCATCCTGTGCGGTCACCTGGCACCCCTGCCCGTGAGGTCCATATAGGGCCAACGTCTGGAAGGCCTTCTGGTGTTCCGGAAACTGCAGCCTTCTAACCAAGTCGTCCGGCTCGTCTGTCTCAAGAGATGGCACGAGTTGAACTGCTTTGTACGTCTGTAATGCTCCGCATGGGCGTTAGTGCTCACCTTCTACTGCCTGGCCCACCGCTGCGCTGGACAGAAGGATCTGCACAAGCTCGTGATGTGCGGGAGGAAGTGAATCTGTTGAGGGCGTAGGTGCGGATTAGGTCTGGTTGACTAGACAGGAGAGGTTGCCACGCGTCCAGAATATAGGAGAGCGCGCCAAAAGAGAAGACTCCAGATCGGACCCATGCAGGTGTAGCAACTGCTGGAAAGGATGCCACTTTGTAAGGCGTACAAAACAGTGCACAACCACTCGTCACGCTCGACTACACTTACGTGGGTTGTGGTACAAATCTGAACACAAACGGTTGAGCGACCGTTATGTACCCACATAAAGAGTCAGGTAGTATCGCGAAGAAATCACAATGTTGCAGAACTGTGAAAGTACTGTTACGGTGTTGATGTGTAGGCAAGTCAGGATGATGCCACATGTGCATGCGCTGTGATGCATCCCGTTTGCACTTGCCTATAGTGTCGCGCATGACAATGTTGCGTTCACGGTTTATGTAAGCAAGATTACTTCGTAACATAGTGTATTAAAGAACGCACTGTTTTGACATGCCAACTACAGAACCATCCAGACACAATCACCCCTAACAGCTGTTGCCACTGACGGATGAAGCGAGAGGAGAGCTGTTGCATCGCAACGTAGCTCCCTCTAAGCCATTGCTGTCGCTATACCCAGGCGCGCACCGCTCATACGAGGCCGCTTAGTAGGAGTGCGACGGAGCCGGTCGATGACGTCGTCGTTACACAGACCAGTGCGCTCGGGAAACTCCCGTGGAAGAATGCCCAGTTCAGCCGCGGTTCGTATGTACGTTTTAGTCACGGCGCGCACTACTCTGCGGCGACTACGAGGGTCGTGCAGTCTCGGCCCAGCTGGCATAATCAACGGAGCGGTAATCTCCACCGCTCCGACATCTGCGACGGGAGCGTCCCGGCCGATGATTGCGAGAATGCGGTTGTCGCACGCCGTGTATTCGGCGGCTTGCATCATGCCAGCGTCGCCCTTCGTGAACTTGTTTATCATTAGCTGCAGACGGACGAGTTGGGTTATTAGTGGCTCCACGGTGAGACATGCTGCGGGATAATCCGTCAGATGGAGAAGCGACCTCCACGCCATGGGCAACATCCCAACCCTTGCCCAAGAGAGGTGGACAGCCCTGCAAGGAGTGCATTCGCTAGCAGACCCCACCCGTAGCAGTACGTTCTCGAAGACTATGATGGGCATTGCGCCCTTAGACAGCCACGCCGCGTCCCTTAGGATGAAGTCGATGTAGCGGGACCGGAAAATCGTCTTGAACATCTCGACCACCCCGTTGAACCACGGAAGGTTGTACGTCGAGACGACACCAGCGAGATGAATTATCTTCGTAGACGTGAGCTGCTGCACACGAAACCCGCACATCGTGCTCTCGTCACATGCCGGGTCCAGGGACACGTGTGCTGCGCTCGCCACGAGGACAATGGCGGACTTGTTGTGGCTGAAGCGATCCAAATCGAAGGTGTCAATGTACTCGGTGAAGCACTGCGTGACAGCGGGGAACACAAACAAGACGAGGACCACGTGTGATTAGTTGCAGAGCAGGATCACAGTACAAAAGCAGCGAGCGCACGCACCTCGGCCGTGAGTTCCCCAGATCTCGTCTGACGCAGATGCACAGGCTTGCCGGACGGGAAGACCGGGCGGTACGGGCGGCCACGAGCACGACGCGTCACGACAATTGGCGGCTGCGACGATGACCCTGTAGCGTTAAACAGCAGGCAAACGCGAAGTTCGCACTGCGGTCGGTAACGTGTGTCAGGCTCCACATTATACGTGAATGGCAAGGTGGTCGCGAGGAGCGGCGTCTCGACGAAGCAGAACACGTCATCCGGGTGAGCGCGTAGCGACTCCAGGAGCTGCACAAGACCTGCCATGGCTTGGACAATTGCTTGGTGACGATCATCCATGTGCGGCTATATGACGCTCGCGTCCTATGGGGAAGCTTTACCCGTGTGCGAGTGCAAGGACTGTCCTAATTGAGCATCTCACAGACGCAATCCGCACGGTGTACACGCGAAGGACACAATGCAACGTTAGTGTCCCACATGGAGGGCTACGATTGGAGAGGCTACTTACCGGCAACAAGAGGTTGGATGAGGTGTTGTAGTGCACAACTGGCATCTCTTCGGCCACATGTTGGAAACGGGTTGTAGAAAGTGGCAGGTGAGGAGAGTGGTGTATTTTGTAAAACCCCTAATACAGAGCGAACTGATTTCGAGCATTTTGCAATTAGATTCTGTATAACGGGTACGCCAGGTCGTCAACAGTTGTTGTGTAAACCATAGCACCGAAACCCTGGACGGAAGGATTAACATAGCTACTGTGTTGCCCTTCACGGTAAAATCCATTGAGGCCGTGTCCTGCTACCGGGTGTGACCTACGTTCGCTGCGCACCAGCGATTACCCGTATGGACGTTGGAAACCATAAGCCATGCTGCCTGTCACCTGGAGCTCTAGACAAGGACAGGGCACCGCATGATTGCGAAGTGTGCGGAGGGTGGTTCGTAGACAACACCGCGTTGCGGACACACAGGAGGTATAACGCACGCTGTATGGCCAAGAGTCCGCCGCCTCCAAGTGTGACGCAGCGAGTGCGCATGCGACAACATGTGGGACGCAGCACAGGCCGCCAAATGGATGTAACGCACTCCGACGACGATTCGGTACCACTCGAGGGCGCTTTTAGATATGGTGATGATCTTCGGAGGCTGTTGCGGCTATTCTCTGCCCACGGGTTGCGCTGTCGCGACGTTGATAGGCTGGTGGTCATGATAACCAACCCCCGCTTCTCGATGAGCGATTTCAACTATGACGGTTGATTTTGACACCATGGCTGGTGTGTCCGCGCTCTGGCCGCCGTGGAACGCAGTGCATCGTGCGGCACATGAGAAGACGCATGCAGAGGAGGGGCCGGCGGAGTGGAACGTCCCATACCTGGTCTGAGCGCAGTGGTTGCAACACTCTAGAGGTCAACGGAAGATGGTTTGTGCGGGTGGTAAAGGGTGTAAGGAAGCTTGTGTATTGACATAGAGTGGTATGTGTTTATTTGTTAGTATTCGGTAAAAAAGTGTCTTTTTAATGGCCCAGTTGTAAAACGTTGTGGGATTGAGCGTAGTGTAAGCTGTGGTTACACGTAGTGGTTCGAATGTTATACAGTGCGTGAACTCATTATACTGTTACGCTACTGGGTTTGCTGGAAACGCGCATTTATTGGCGTACGTACAAGCGTATTGTTGCAACAACCTTTTCGCCCAATGGTTCGCAACATGAGCACAACCACTGTCGCTGGACTCGGCGAATGTGGCGTTATCATATAACAGAAGCCATCGCATCACATACTGGTGTCGCGGCTCACTTGCGTGTTGAAGTGCCACGTGGGATGGCTGGTTCACCCCGTGCACTACATGGGTCGAACAGATATAGGAGCTGATGTGTCAGGGTTGAATCCGTGTACTGGCATGACGTCACGATGGCTGATCCGTACGACATGTTGTGTCTAACAATACTGGGAGGAACAAACAAATTAGGGTTTCACCCTCGCCTGCGGCTATGTTAGGCAACGCGTGCGACGCCTGCGGCGTAGAACACGTTGACGACAACACGCTGCAGTCACACCTAGCAGGCAACAAGCAATGCCGACGGAAAATCCACCAAGCAAGGGCGGAGCGGCTGGTAGAGGCGTACAGGGAGGCTATGCATGCAATGCGGGGCGCTCCCGCGCCGTCCCCTGTTCAGAGCCGACAAACCGACACGGTCGCGGATGCGAGCCATGGAATGGAAGAGCATGACGAAGAGGAAGAGCGGAGAGGAGCATCCGAACCGGTCGCGGACGACGCGGAGAGCGACGTAAGCAGCGACGATGA